ATATATATATATATATATATAATATATATATATATATAATATTAACACATGGTGATATTAAATTAAGTGATAGTTATAGCTAAGAAAAAGAGTGCACCATTTAAAGAAATAATAGAAAGTGTAATATTTAAACAAGAGAAAACATCAGTCCGACGTATTAAATGTTTAAGGCACTCGACTAACATAAGTGTTTGAAAAAAAGCAAAGTCCATTGTCAACGCGTTACTACCGAGTCAAAGCAAAGGTATAAAGAGCTTAACCAAGATGCGGCAAGATGGTTGCAAACACCCAAACAGTAAAGAAATTCTTTTGCACAATTATCTACACTAAAAAGTGCACTTAATAAGTATCCCTATTGATAACACAAGAAATTTTTGTTATTAAGTTAGAAAAATGTTTAAATATCTTAGTAATTTACGTTACAGCATAATGTAATTTGGCCGTAAAGTGGCTCATAATTAAATTAAAACAACAAATTGAATTAATACAATATATTATTCATTATTTCATTAACATTTATGCACTTAACTAATCTATATATAATATCACAGTAGACACCTTCCCTGACGACAAGACGGTTGGTAGTTACTGGGACGATAAATTAGTAGTTCGAGCGATTGTTTTTGCTGGAGAACAAGTCTTGAGTAATTTGAGAGTTGAAGACTATTTGGTTTGAAGTTGTTACCCTATGAACAAAAATGAATTAGTAACAAGTCTCATAAAAATACTATAAAAAAAAAATTACCTGATAAATCAATCAGCGCTGTCTTTCAAGCAACCTCAGCAAGACATTCATTGTAAAACTCAGCAAGTGGTTTTTTATAATAACTGATTAAGTTAGTGAGGTTAGTCGTGTTAGTGATTTAGTAAGAGTTAAGTTAATCATGCATAATTATAGCAGTTATTATAAAAAAAAACACTTGCGAATCATACATGAATGAGTTCTCCAAACTCATGATGTTTGAGCATCAGGAAAAATTTGAAAAATCTGAAAAAAAAAAGAAATATTTTAATAAAGTTTGCATTTATACTGTTATGGATAAACACACACCTGATTAAATGTTCCTGGTGAAGGAGTCTGTGTGCAGAGCAGCAGAAGTTGAAAGGACCTAAAAAAAAAAAGAAATATATTTAGCAGTTTGCATTTATACTGATTATGGATAAACACGCACCTGATTAAATGTTCCTGGTGAAGGAGTCTGTGTGCAGAGCAGCAGAAGTTGAAAGGACTGAGAAAAAAAAAAAAATATTTAGCAATGTTTGCATTTACTGGTTATGGATAAACCACACCTGATTAAATGTTCTAGAGAATTCCTAGTAAAGTAGTCGGAATGAATATTCTTGCATTTTGAATTGGCAGTTGAACCAGGATCTGGAATAAAAAAACATTAGAAATGTAAACATTGATGTTGTATAGAGAATTTATAAAAGTGTTTATGCGTTACCAACAATCCATCGTGATGGGGTCTGTGTAGAGTTTGAATTTTCAATCTTGAATGAAAAAATTTTATAAAAACAATGAAATAAAATAAAAAATTAACAGCATGTGAAAATAATGATAAGCTAAATATTGATTTTTAGACACTTACTTGAACTTTCTTCTTAGTCCCCTTCAAAGAGCATTTATTTATAAGTCTTGAATAAGTTTGTATGGTCTTAAAAATGTCATTGTTTGATAAACTCTAAGTTATTCATACTTTGAATGCTTCCCAAATATTTTGATCGTATCATTCCAGTTGACCGTTGTGTAATCACAGTGTCCGATAATCACAGTGTCCGATCAAATATGCCTAAAAAACAAATTATGAAGTTACAAATCAGTAGATCTAGTAAGAATAAATAAAGTATATACATATAATATAAATATAATATAAAATAAATTGGTTAATAAAATAAAATTAAATGTAAATTGAATTTTCACTCGATACTACTTGGCCATTCGATACTTAACAATTTATTTGATATGATACGTTGTGGTTTTCATGTGATTTCATCTTGATGCCCAGAAATATAGTTCTGGATAGTTTCTAACAGTTTAATAATCGCACTTGGTTTTATATGAAATGCATTAACATGAATTCAAAATAATAAAAATTGAAATGTAATGTAATACTTCAAATCCACATTGCATAGACTTAAAAGATTCAAACGACCACATTATATTTTAGTAGTAGTAGAATGGATAGTGTTGTTAGTATTTGTTAGTATTATTAGATACGAGAACTAAGAATGCAAATCATGCAAATGGTCATTTGATTCATGAAAGCCAATGCTTTAATGATTTCGTAAATTTGTAAAAGATAAAGCAAAAACTAAAAGTATCAATTAATGAATATCTTGAGTAAATTCACTGTTCGATAAATACATTCATACCAAATGCAATTCCAATAAAACCACAATTAGTGCATTACAGTGACATGAAAACTGAATGATTCTGCACAAAATGCCACAAATTCAAACGTACCTGCACCTGTAAAATACAGAAATTAGTATTGAATTATGATGAACATCATTAAACGTCACCAAAGCTGTCTTCGTGTGCAATGCAGTTCCTCCAATTTTATTTTCAATCAAATTG